CTACAGTATTTTTACAGTCTTTATTTTACAGTTAAAATATATGTTTATCAAATAAAGTCTAATGTTACAACTAATCAGGGATCCCTTTAAGACTGATGAACCTTTGAATCATCTTCAACACATTCTAGTTAGAGCCAYTCCTATTCATCTGTTAACAAAATATCTCATGAATTACTGGGCCGATTTTAATAAACTTCTAAGAAATTAATCATTGATTATACATCTTCAACTCTTCAGCTTTTGGAATCAACTTGATTTAAGATGACTATCACAGCTAATTAAATTTATCAACTACAAAAATGGCTCTTACGCTTCCAGTTTTACAGATATTGAGCTAGAATTTGGCATTAATCAATCACACAAAACTTTTGAAACCTTGACACGGAAGGCAGTGGATGAACAGTTTTTTTAATAAACGTTGTCAAATATCTGTTTGTGTGCCTGCGCAGTGACATGCTTCCGGACATCCGCTGCATCTGCATAGAGGAGTTGGTTGTCTGGATGAAGCTTTACAGCTCTGTGTTTCTCAACGACACTTACCTGAAGTACGTGGGCTGGATGATGCACGACAAGGTGAGCAACGGGATTTACAGAAACTGAGCGTCAGAGCTTGAATAAGCTTTTCTGATATACTGAAAACAAAGTAAGTACTTCTGTATGTAATCTTTTCAGACACCAGAAGTGCGTCTGAAGTGTGTGTTAAGTCTGCAGGGTCTGTACAGCAATCCTCTCCTGCTGCCTAAACTAGATCTGTTCACCAGCCGCTTCAAGGTAATCAAACTGGAAACCAGCTGTTTTAGGTACTTTTACTGTATACACCTCCACTTCCAAATCCTTTTCAACTTACTGTATATTCAAGTGAATATACAACAGAGATTAAATATTTAATGTTCAGTTTATTATTATTATTTTTCAAATATTCACTAAGTTTTAAATTGAAACCTGCGACACATTCTAAACAAYGCTGAGACAGGGTCAACAAAAGACTGGACAGATTAATTGGGAATGAGTGGGTGTCATGATTGGGTATAAAAGGAGCATCCCTGAAAGGCTCAGTCATTCACAAGCAAGGATGGGGTGAGGTTCATTAATTTGTAAACAAGTGTGAGCAAATAGTCCCAACAGTTTAAGAATGTTCCTCAACAAACAATTTCAAGGAATTTAGATAATATCATCAAAAGATTCAGAGAATCTGGATTAATCTCTGATAGTAAGCGGCAAGGCCAAAAACCAACGCTGAATACCCGTGACCTTTAAAGTTAAAGTTTGATTTAAAATGGCTCCAGCAGATCTTCATCACTGTTAATCCCGTATTGTGTCCCAGGACCGTCTCATCTCCATGACGATGGATAAGGACAACGAGGTGGCAGTCCAAACCATGAAACTACTTCTGCTCATTTCRAAGTGAGTTTTTATCATTGTAGCGAGAAGAGGGGAGAATCAGTGAGGGTGATGACGGCAGGGTATATACAGAAATTCTGAAGTTAAATTTAATACCGTTTAATACCTTTTTAATACCATCCCAATGTTTTTTTAATACCAACACGACTTCAAGTTGAAACTGTAGCGGCAACTGCTTCAACCTATTATTAAAGTTACTGGATACATACAGCAGGTAAAATAAGTATTGAACACGTCACCGTTTTTCTCAGTAAATATATTACTAGAGG